ATCTTGCCTAACAGTAACAGTGAAGGGTTTACAAATCCCTCAATACTCTAATGTGGGATGAGCTGCCAAATCAGATCTCTTCCTGCTCTCCAAGAATTACAAATTGAAAAATCCTGGATAATTTAATATTTTGTACAACATTGCTATCATTAGTTAGAACAACTCTAAGCATTCTCTATAATATAAATATCTGATACAAAAAAATTTAAGTCCTTGGAATCGACAACTTCTGCTGTTAACCGCTTACATCCGTTAATCGCACATTACATGAAATGTTTCCTTTTTCTGGTTTTTAATTTCTTGTCTTTTAATTTCACTGAATGGCCCCTTGTTCTTGTATTATAAAACAGAGAGAACAGAAGATCCCAATTAATGTTCACTATGCTATTCATGATTTCGTACACTCCTATTTTATTCCCTATTATTATTTTCCTTAAGGAGGTAAACACTGATCTTTCCAATCCCTCTCAATGTGAAATTTTCCACACCCTGTTTCATTCTCACCACTGTGACCTGAACCCATTCTGGAATTACCAGTATTATACACAGGAATCTATACGAAGACACACCACTAATATAAAAGCATTAGGATATTCTTCGTTTAATTCACAATTGCATTTCTTTTACACCTTAGTCTTTTTGATCACAAGTGCACACGGAACAGATACCTTTAATGAGCTGTCTACAGTCACACACAAGTTCCCTCTTTGAATCAACAGTTAAGGCGTGCTTACAATGACTCGACATCACTCAAAATTACTGCCAAAAAATAAGCTCCCTTATCTACTTCCACTGAGAATGATCTAAAGCTGGAAATTCAGTGGACGGGGCGGCTCCAGGGAGCCTGCCACTGCTGCTCTTGGACCCGTACCCATAGAAACCTTTAAAATACATACCAGCATACGTAGTTTAAATGTTTCCTGCCAATATACATTACTTTGCAAAGGCTCCATCTCTGTTTCTCAGTCAGCCAACTATATGTATGTTACACATAGCTCAGGTTATAACATATTTACTTGAAAATAAGATGACCCAAAATTTCAGGTGACACCCCCCAGTGCTTAGATTCCATGTGAAGAAAAATCTTACTTTGGTATGTGTGTGTGTGTGTGTGTATATTTAATAACCAGAACTACTACATGAAAACTATAGTAATACCAGAAAGTCATAAATTCAACATTAACTTCACTTTAAACATTAGCTTAACTTAATCTATATTAGGTTCTGTCTAGAACCTGGTGGATGCTGCTCTGCCCTTGGATCCTACAATTTAAGACTGGTCACTTTTACATGCATACTCACTCTCACACTCTTCACTGTTCTCATCTTCTCCTTCATCTTCCCACAAAACATCAGCGTCAGTTCCATCCATGGCACTGGATGTAAAGCACTTCTTGAAGCCTTTAATAATGGATTCTGAAGCTATCCTTCCCTAAGAAGTGAGAATCCATTGGCAAAGAAGTGCTATGGTTGGATTTTTAATCTTCCTACCAGGTGTGTGGTTCCCTGCCAAAAGCCAGTCTGAGTACTGACACCGCAAACGGTCCTTAAAGAGCTTATTCACTGCAACATCCAATAGTTGGAGTTGAGATGTCATACCAGCACGTATGACTACAAGATCACAGTTCACTGACTGAATTTTTGCTTTCACATTCAGTATTAAAAGCCCTCTGAAAGAATCTAACACTAACATTCCTCTTTTCTTTAGCAGTGCCCCAGGTCTCCATTACCACACAACATCTAACCAGTCATTCATCAATTCACTTGACATCCATCCTTGTTCCTGGCATCTAGCCACTATTCCTAATGGCAAGCTTTTATTTTGGCACAGTTTTTCGTTTAAAAAAATAAAATCACATAGGGTGGCAATTTTCTCTCATTTGCCAATACTGCTAACATCATTGTAATTCACAACTTTTCATTTTCCTGTATTTCTTGTAATTATGGATTTTGCACCTCATGGATGGTGACATTGCTCGCCATGTAAAAATAGGCTGGAGTCTTATCAGCATTACCTGCTTGGCTCTGCAGGTAATCATGAATTTTGCATAGTCCAATACAGTACTGCTGCATTTCAACAAGTCTTTTATTGCAGTCTGATAGTTGATTTTTGTGCAAGTAACGTTCTTCATCTCAGAGCTAAGCCACTACATTACATCATTCAGATACACCACTCACTACTTACTTTGAATTTTTGAAGGAGAATGTTCAATTCTTTTGCTACTTCTAATGCCTTGAGTTGAAGAACTTTGCCAGTGATAGACATTCCTGAAAACGTTAAGCAAGTTCTCAAGTACGTTTAAGAAAAGAGAAAGAAGGGAAAGTGACCTTGTTTTGGACTCCCAAATGTTTTCCATGTGGATTTGGCATTCTCGAGTTTTCCTTTTAATTTTGTCTCCATCAATGCTCATTTGCTTCAGTAATGTTGTATTTCCTTTGCACCTCACAATTATTTGTTTTTTCCGTATAAGTTTTAACTTTAAAATTAAAGTTTGTACCATAACTGCACCTCATTTCTTTTGGTATCTTCACATTTGTACTGCTACTTCCCCTTTTTTCTACATGGTCTGTCATGGGGGTTTCCCCTGCCACCACGCATCCCACAGAATTTACCATGGGTTTCTATGCTTTTATGTTTGGGCCAGTCAGTGGTGATCAGGCCCTGTAATTTGCTGCTTTCCCTGCTACTGTCAGATGCACCCCTTCCACCTGCCCCTCTGCCGGGTGCCTTGCTGCCGTCAGGTGCCTCACTGTGTACTAGATCCCTCACTGGTATGCTCATGCATGGTCCCTCATCACCACTTCTTGGTCACTTGTTGAGTGCTGGATCGCCCATGGTATGCACGTTCTGGGTCCCTTGTCATTGCTGCCAGGTCTCTCGCCACCGTGTGCTGGTTGCCTGACCTCATGCTGGGTCCCTTGCTACCCCTGCTGGAAGCCTTGCCATGTGCTGGATCCTTTGCTGCCACTGCTAAGAGTCTCACTGCATGCTGGATACCTTCCTACTGCTGCCTGGAGCCTAGCCATGCATTGGGTCCCTCGCTGAGTACTGGGTCCCTTGTCTCAGCATGGCTGGTCCTGGGGGTCCTTTCTCCCAGAGTGCTAGCCAGCACCTGCAGGGTCCCTGCCTGCTCCATGCCTGGCCAGCCTTTCCCCACAGCATGATGGGTACCTGGCAGGCAGGTGATCAGGTCGCTTCCAGGTGCTGCCTGGCTGGTGGGTGCTGAGGCAGCTTAGTGTGTGCTGGCCAGGCTCCTTGCATGCAGCTCAAAATGAACCAGCAGGTGCTGGTTAGGCACTATCCCCACACCATGAAGGATATCTGGGCCAGCACATGCTAAGTCACTATGATCTACTGCCCCAACAGCAGGTGCCAAAGCAAGGAACCTGGCCAGGCTGCCAGGACGTGACGAGTTGCTCTGGCACTCGCTGCTGGGGCAGCAGATCAGAGCAACCCAGCATGTGCTGGCTAGAAATACTGCATGTTGAGCAGACAGTGCCTGGCTGGCACCTGCTAGGTCATTTTGAGCTGCATGTAGGGTTTCCAGCCAGAGGATACTGAAGCTACTCAGCACACACTGGAAGGCAGCAGCTTAGAGTGACCCTGCACCAGCTGGCCAGGAACCCTGCACCTGAGGGGAGCTCAGGCACCCTCTGCTGGCTGGCCATGTGTATTTTCTGATTTCACACAAGTCTTACGTGATAAGATGAGGCTTGATTTTCCCTGTGTTGGATGGGGAAAAAAACCTTGTCTTATAATTGAGTAAATATGGTATATGCTCCTGGAAGTCACTTTTGTAGTCTAGCTGCAAGCAACAAAAGCAGAAGACACAAGCTTGGTAGGGAAGAATTTTGCCCAAGCGCATGTCATAGCAAGTTTCAAAATGAACTTCAGCTAAAGCTGACAACCAGTTATGGAATGCTTAACCCAGAGTTGCAATACAGATCAAGGATCAAACAACTCTCATGTCTACTCTTTTTTCAGTTTCATCTTGCCTAGAATTTTCCTATTGTCAACCTATTCTCTAATTTAGAGCAGTGGCTTTCAATCTTTTTTCATTTGTAGATCTCTAAAAAGTTGAATGGAGATGTGGACCCCTTTGGAAATGCTGAATGTAGGTACAGACTCCTTTAAATTGTAAGTGTTGGTATCAATACTTTTGATCATAGTCATCCTTTACGGACCCCTCAGACATAGCACGTGGACCCCCAGGGGTCCATGGACTATAGGTTGAAAACCAGTACTTTAGAGGAGCCCCTGACCAAAGCCGTCCCTGCCTTTTTCAGAAAGGTGGTGTAGAAAAAGATTAGCAGATTTAGCTCCTGCTGGCCACATCCTTAAGGTATCCTCTGCTACAGTCAAAAGAAGAGTACACAGGTGGTAATGAGCATCCTTCATAGATTCATACATTGTAAGGCCTTTGAAGATCATTGGGTCCAGCTCCCTGCACCAAGCAGGAAAGATAACTTTGTTACCCTTCTAAAGATATCCACTCCATCCCTCCCATCCCAAGAGAGTACTGAAGCAATAACGCAGCAATTCTGTACCACTGGACTTTCCAAGCCAATGGGAGTTCACAGAGGCATAACAGACAGCTAGGCACCTGGGGCAGCTGCCAAACACAGGAACAGTAGTGACTTCTGGTTGCTACTGTGCCACCAGTATGATCACTTAGCTAAGGCAGCAGCCATTTTTCTCCCCCCACCCCACCTGCCTCCCCATATCAAGTTGCTGCCTGGGGAAGTACTACAGTTACACTACTAGGATTTCAGGAACAACACTGCAATCCAAATTAAGAAGTGACTAATAACCAAGCGGGCTTTAGTCTAAAGATCACAGATGGGAACATTGTTTCCTTGCTGAATTTCTTATAGAAAGAACATCAACAAAATTATCTCAAATGTTAAAAACGTACGATATGCCAGTTTACCAACAAAGTAGCATAATTTATAACAGGCTATATTTTGTCTTCGGAATTATTACTATGGATAAAACTTACTAAGCTCGGTGATAAGTTTAAGATTCTGTTGCCGGATGTTTTCAAACTCCTGCTGTTTCTTTCTCATGTGTTCCTCCGTTACTGCACAGCGATCACATAATCCTGCTCTTAATCTAGGGAGAGATAAATAAAAGTTTTCCATCATTAAAGATAATAGCATATATAAGTTGGACAATTGGTATTTCATTTGGAACAATAAATAATAATAAGCTGCTGACAAATACATGGTACCTCACTAGTTCAAATTTTATTCTTTGATGAATTGTTGCTTTGAACTTTTCTAGGCAGAACAAATGTAAAGGAAATGCTGATGATTGGTTATACTTAAAATCAGTGGTTCTCAGCCTTTTTAGACACAAGGCATCCCTCAGAAGATGCAGCTGTAAGCTTTCACTCATTTTTTGATGAAGAAAAAAAAATGTAGAGCAATTCTTCTGTTGCAAAGAACTCAGACCACAACAATGGCTGGCTGGAATGTTTTTGACACTATACTTTCCTATTTGAAAATCTGAGTTTAACCCATGAATCACCTAACAGCACTAATATTATGTTGCATTCTGAAAAGGATCTTATAGCACCCTGGTTGAGAATTACTGGTTTGTGTGGTCAAACCACCAGATGAGCCTAATTTGGGTGTGTGGGGCTGCCGGGGGTCAGGGGGAAGTGGGAAGGGCCCTGATTTGGCCCTGTGGGGCTTGGGAATTTGGCAGTGGGGGAGGAGTGGCAATACTACTTGCCACTGCTCCTGTGCCACCAAACTTCCTGGCCCATGGTGTGCCCTATGGGCCAGATGCCAAGGATCACAGGCTCCATTTGGCCTACAGGCTGGAGGTTGAGCACCCCTAGTATAAAGACAAAATGATCACTGACTGTATTCATCTTACTAGCTATTAAAAGTATATGCACTATAATGTCATACACAATGAAGCCCCTTCCTTACCTTCTCAGCAACCACTAAGATTAGTTTAAGGCCCCTGGCAGATGTGCAAGTAAAGGTGCCCTGGGATCTGACCTGTGATTCCCACAATCTCATTTCCTGGCATGCATGATGCACACATTTTTTGTGTAATAGTTTTGTGGTTTATTCCTCATTTTGTCAGATCATTAATTGCATTAATGTGTGGCTAGGAAACAACTTAGGATGTGATTAACTGGTTAATCATGTCTTAAGTGCAATGTGTGCTGAGGCCTTGATGCCCTAACATCTATCTTTGCCAACACAGGATTTCTTCTCTCTACTTATTTTAGCAGTTCACTCAAGTCACCTGTTTACACAGATTTATTTTTTGTAGACCTCAAGGAAGACATTCCACTTATATTTTGTATAAACGGTATGATACCAGACAGAGAATTAAGTTTAATAATGGCTACCTACAGCTTTGGATCTACAAATTATGCCACAGTAAGATGTATATTGAATGTAAAACATCAAAAATAATTTTAAAAAGCCAAAAAGATATATAATATGCACCTGTAACACCCACTCCATGTGGCCAATAACTTACACACTGATCCAAAGCTCCATGAAGTCAATGAATCCACTGACTTCAGCAGGCTTCGGTCAAAGTGCTTAAAATATATCTGTGGTCAAAAAAGGATTTGGTATAAAGAGCACATTCTCAGTCAATATATTGGCTCCTACTAAGTCACATTATTTGCTTTATAGGCAAAACCAAACGTTTATTTACAATTCCAAGCAAGGAAATGCTAACACTATTATGGAAGATGTGTCTGAATTCTGTTTTGCCAGGAAAATAACATAACTCTTTTTTAAGTAATAAATTATATAATTTAAGAAGCAGAAGGAACAACTGAATTTTCAGACCAACAGCTGAGCATTAGCAGGAACAAACCTCTTGGTTTGTAGTATCAGACATACCCAATATATAAGACTGGAGAAAAGAGTATACAATCTGAATATTGAGACATTACTGTCACTTGCCTGACTAACAACTGCATTTTAAGCACATAGAAGTCTGAGAGTCAAAGTTACTACTTGCAATACAGTTGCTCTCTTTAAAACAGTTTTAAGTGCTCCTGAGTTTTTAGAACAAGAGAACTTTGTCTGTACGCATAATCAACCAAGTCCATCCACTTGTGCATGTTCCATAATCTTGCCCATGTGAGGTCAAAAGTTCAGTACATAAACTGTTGACTAGGTTCACCGCTACTCCTTATACTAAGGATTTCAAGCTCTCTAGTATGAGATTTTTACCTGCCACTGAATACTGAATGGTCGAGAAGTAGGGGAACAGTAATCTCAGTATACATACAACCTCCTCCTTTTGGCAGTCTTTACAGAGCAAATGTTATGAATCTACTCTACACTTTCAAAAATGAAAAGATCTGGGGTATTTTCATATACATTTGGTTTTGTAGATTAAGCAAACAGAAGAACAGCAATATGGCATCCAAACTTAGCAAAATAAGAAAAAGTAGAATGGAGTGGTTGAGGATGAGGAAAAAAAAGAGGGAGACAGACAAAGCACATTCATTTTTTATAGAGATCCATCTCCTTTAAATTATCTCAAATTTGAAATAATGTTTAGTTATCAGGAGTTTTAAAATGTAGTCTAATAAAGGCTCCCTTTTCCATTTCACCGTTTCCTTTATAATTCTGGGAAGGATTTTGTCTTGTCTCAGTGTTTCATCAGTATTTAAATGTACTCATTTCTCAACACCCTATTAAACTTACTTCTTACAATAATTTTTATTGTAAGAAGTAATTTTTATTGCCTGGATATTGCAAAATGTTTCCCTAATTTCTTCAATTTCTTTCACTGCTTTTTGTTTATCTATAGGGTACTAAGTACCATGGTACTGGAGAATGAGTAACATTATGTAAAAACAATTCAGTCCGAAGGATTAACACTGTCCAGTTTTCTCTACACAATATAATTTTGATTACACTATAAAAAACACAAAATACATCTATACCACTCTCCTCAAAAAAAAAAAATCAATCAACCAAAACCTCATTCATTTACCTGTCTTCTAAAACTTTGATCGTGTCATGAAGTGCCTTTTGTTGCTCTCTCAGCTGCTGGTTTTTTGTATAAAACTCTTCAAGCCTCTCTGCATCCCTAAAATGAGAGAGGGGGTAAATTCTTGTAAAAGCAGATTTTTTTAGTTGAGATTGAGTCATTACATTTCAATGGAGAATGCTGTGTGCAGCTATAACACACTTGCTATTGAACGCTCCTTTCTTCTCTCTGAGAAATGCAGTTGGTAATCAGAAAAATATTAAATGAAGTGAAACAATATCATGAAAACCAGAATAACTAGTTATTTATGCCATGGCTATAGATTGATCAAGGATAGCATCAAGTTGGATGTTTAGTCATTACTAGGGATCAAGGTATTCCATTTGCTGTGGAAAAACATGGATTTTCTCCTGTAAAGGAGAAAAACACAGGAAACAGCAGGTTTCCCTTTGCAGGCTAGCAGAGTTTCAGCTGGCCAGGGGCTCGGAGAAGCAGAACGCTGGAGGCACCACATGCATGTGTGCACGTGCAGTCTCATGTAGATGCCCCTACTAATAGCTAAGACATAGCACAACTGGTTTAATTAGTTGATCTTCCTTGTGAGTATTACTGTTAGGTGGTCTGTGATTATCCATAACCAAATACCATATTTTAAATGTATTATACCCTGTTTACATTATTTGCCAAGTGATATTTAAAATGATATTATATTTATAATGGAATTATGTTATTTATAATTATATACAAGACAAACAAACACTTTCTTTTAATCTACAGAAGATTTAAGATTTTTTCCATCAACATCAAGGCAGGCTATTTACAGGAAACCATGATAATGAATGAAAAATTTCTGCTTAATGCACAAAGTAAATTAAAGAAAACCATATTTCCTAATTTCTTTCAATGATCTTGGGTAAAATCTGCAACTACTTCATATGTGTATAGACAAATACAATTTTCAGGTTGGCATTGTCCCTGAAATGTTACCAACTACATTTTTCACTTTACTAATTTTGGTGGGATGCTGGGAAATTAGTATTCACAGATCAATTAAGTGAATGAGGTAGTGAGGGGCATCAGAAATATATTATCCATATTTATTGTACTGATTTAAAACAAAAACATGAATGCTTTTTGACTCCCCTTATTACTTAAAAAGTTAGCATGTGCAAAGATTGCTGGCCACTACAGCTAGCAAAGGGAGCCTCTGAAGTGCCCAATCCTGAAACAGATGTGCAGGCTCTTGGGTGCTTGTGTCTTTAAAGTCAGAGACAAGCTGTATGAACTTTTCTGATGTTTTAAGGAAAAGAATACCATGCCTTTTCAGGTCTACTTTACGATTCATGAAGAGGCAATGAAAGAAAAATTCAATTCCCCCCATGTCCCATTTATGTAACAGAACACTAACCTTGGTATCTTGTTTACACAAAGATGGTATTTCAACAACAACATGTAAAGAGCAAAGTAGTTAGCTGTGTTAGTCTGAAGTTAGGAAAAAAGCAGGCAGAATAACTCATAAAGGTGGTAAAGCACCCCATTCTGAGAATCAGTATATTTAGTAATCTAAACACAGACTTCTATTTTCATGCTGTAAAATGGAAGGAACAGAAAAAGAAGTTTTTAACATTTTGGTGCTGCTTGACGAAAATGACTGACATTTTGGCTATGAAGGTAGTCTTCGTAATGAATGGTCTCTGACCCTGCATTTACAAGATCATTAGCTCCAATGTTGAACCAGGGTACAATATAAGGAGCTCATTGTCAGCTGGTTATCAACTCTGAAATATTAAACCTCAGGTATTCAAAAGCATCAGGGAGAACAAGAACTCCCATATACGGCTATTGTCTCCAGAATGTGGTAATTGTAGAATGATTTCAGCAAACAATAATTTAGTCATTTGGTTAGGTATGTGTGAAGTCACAACAGAATATCATGGATTAAACTCATCTTCTGGAGACTAAACCGACCAAGAATATAAGCTTTTAATTTTCCCTGATGTAGAAACAAGCCAGAGTATACAGGATAAATGCAACAATTGCATTGTAGCACTCAATTTCACAACCTTACAATGAAAATAAAGCATCTAAAATACTTTTTGGAAGTTGTACAAACTAAGAAATAATGTTTAAACTGATTTGTTTTCAACACAAATTAAGTAGAGCTGTGACAAGGGGGACACCAAAAACATGCTTCATGAAAAGGTAGATTCCATTTGTGGTTCTCTTACTGCCTATGGAACCACACTGCTGTTACTAAAGTGCCAAACTGAAATTTTTTTCTCAAAATCTAAACTGCATATAAGATTAATGTGGATTTTAGCAGAACAGCTGAGAGAATTTGATGAAACACCCTACCCTTAAAACTAATCAAGTTAATAATGTCAATCTGAACTACAGGTTTCCCTCGCTTTATGTGGGTTCTGTACGTGCAAATTTGCTCTTATGTGATGACCCTTTTAATACCAAAATAAATTCACTCTTATGCGATCAGTGTGGTGGAAGCCTACAGTCAGCTGCTTTGCGTGGTGCATTGCGGGAGTGACACACACCAAAACATAGTCTCCTGGGTGGATCTGTGCTCCTCGATCGTTGTCTGCGACACGTGTTTCTGTAGTTGCCATCCCCATTATGAAAGTGCCCTGTGCTTGTGTGTACCATCTGCTGTTGGTGAGTACCAAAATTGTCTTGTAAAAGGTGGTAGAAATGGGTCTGGGGGTCAGTTCAGTCAAGGTCTTGGAACATATCCCTATTTGTTACTTTGTAAAGTGGGTTCCCTTTATGCAAATTTGAGTTATGTGCCGTTTTCCAGAAACGCAGGAACAGCATACAGCGAGGGAAACCTATAATGTTACACAGACAGAAAGCTGGCTACAGGAGTAAGCAGCAGTGGGGATACAAGAAGAATGTGCACAAAACTTAGCAACTCTAGCCAAGTGTGACTATGTAGCTACTGGGTCTCTTGGTACTGCTGAGAGTTCAGGGGTGGTTGAGGGTGATGTTTATTCTAGCACAACAGGATCTTCACATGGTGCACTTAAGATTCTCATACCACATTTAACCCAAATCCAAGATGACTTGGAATTTAAGGCACCCTCCACCTAATAATTAGATTCTATACCTGGAAAAATTATTAATTTGTTATAAAATTCCATTTATAGAATCCAATTATTAGAGGATCATCTTTAATTCTTCCCTCCTGACACTGCAGCACAGAAAGCAGCAGCGTGGTGACAAGAAACAGCAGGGAGCAGGTCATAAGTACGCAAATTGCAGGGGAGTCAAGCAACCTAACCCCCACACCTTGGTCCCTGCTGTCTGCTCCCCCAACCTGTCTCCCCTTGGGCTGCCTGAGGCTCCCCCCGCAGTACCTCTAGGCCCACCACCTTCCCCTCTTCCACTTGCGCCCTTTCCTTAAGTCACAGCTCCAGCTCTGGCTCCACTCCTGCCAGAAGCATGTGGTGGCAGCAGTCCCCACCTAGCCAGGCAGCAATAGTTGTGTTGGTGGCAGCCCTGGCCCCAGCCCTGGTATTGGGTTGGAGCTGGGGTCAGAGCTGTTGCCACTGCCTCCACTGCTACCTGGCCAGCTGGGGGCCAGACATGCTATGTACTCTGTGTACTGGGCCAGAGCCAGAACCATGACTGAGGATAAGCAGTGGCTGGAGGCAGGGAAGGGAGGGAAAGAGGTCTGCAGAGACTGCCCATGGGGAGCAGGTTGTGGAGAAGGACTGCAATGGCTGTGGCTCTGACTCCAATCCCGAGCCATGGCTGGAGATCCAGCAGCTGCCTCTACCCACCAATCTGTCCTCAAATCCAAGATGAGCCTCCCCCCATTTTGAAAGGGGCAACCACCCACCCCTCCCCTTGGACATGAGTAAATGTACTATAAAGTGATAATTTCCCTTATGCTGCTGCCCTCCCCTTCTTTAACTGGCACTACCACCTCCTCCTGGCTGTTTATTTAGGTCAGCATCTCAGACAGAGGATAGAAGCAAATAGCATGCAGGAGCCTACCACCTTGGATGCTAGAGTGACACCAAGTGGTCACAAGGCAGAACAGTAAAACTTTCCAAAATGGCAGATTTGTGGGTCAACATCCAGCTGAGTAGGAATCCTCAACAGCTCTGCCTTGAAAAGACAATGATAAATGGAATATACAAGTGGGATGTGTTTAGCTGAAATATGCACACAGCACTGAGATCTAGAAAAGCTGTAAATGCTAATGAGGATAAACAAAAAGGGACCCGGAGAGGTTAGCAACATGAGACGGACAATATTGGAACCCAATGTTACTTTGGAAAATGAAGACTACTTCAGCTAGGAAAATATAAAAGGACAACCAGGCATGGAAGGAAGAAGCCTAAAAAGCAGTAATGCTGAAAGCGGACAGCAAGTTCACTTTGAACTTGCAGTACAATACAGCACACAAAAACAGGCAGTTTCAAGATATTTTACATAACAGGAAAGGGAAGAATTCATTACATTCTGCTTTGCTATACAACTGTCTTTGTTTCTCGGAGCCTCACTACCATAAAGATAGGCATGTTAGTAAAGCTGATAGAAAGATTATGGGGGCCTCCTGGAGTTACCAAGGGAAATAAAGAATTTTTTTAAGAGAGCATGGGAAAAGTTCATATCTATTTAAGTATTTGAAAGTTGCTACCTCAAAGGAGGCGGACAAATAATTTATGCCAAGTGTCATATCTAAAAAGAGTGTAGTGCTGCTGATTGGTCAGTATAATTTAGTTTTATAATGTATAATGTATTTAATGCAAGTAAGCTCTTTTTCAAATTGGAAAGAGAATTTACCATAAGTGTAATAATTATTTTTTATTTCTTTTACATAGCAGTTGAAACTTAATACTTTATAAATATTATGAAATTTTCATTGTGTAACTTTACAAATAAAACATTGCGTTAACATAGAATTCAGCACTGAATTTGACTTCTGAAACTAATAGAGAAACAAACATTTACATTTTGTAAATGCAGTTCATGATACTACGGCATATGTTAGTCCTCTAATCCAGGCTAAGAAATTAGCTAGCTTGATATGCACCTAATGAACCAGATTGAAAATAAAAAGTAAACTGCTGCTAACCAAAGATTTAAATGTGCTTTCACCCCTTCTATTCCTTTATAATGTACAGATGTGGCCACAGTTTAAAAGCTTTTCTTCTACTTATTTTTTGTACCTGATGAACATCCTTGATGGACATCCTAGAAATACCCTAGATAAGATGGCAACAACACCAGATAATTAATCAGAGGTAGATGCGGAGTTCCAGTTCTAGAAACTGCAAGCAGTTTCACACATTTATAAATGACTTCACACTGCATACTCAGGCAAGTAGAGTTATAGCTACATCATCAGGCCTCCAAATCTCAACTAGCCATGCAGGAATCACAGTTTATTAACTGTATTAAAAAGTCTGCTCTAACAGAGTAGGTCTGCTTGTTGTAAGACGGGTGGGTACTTACAAGCATCTTTCCTTCTTCAGTTTGGATATTTTCAACTGTAAGCCTGAAAATTAAAAAGAGCATTATTGTACTTATTTTATTAACATATTTATATAGCTAAGCTGCACTTTTGTTAACGAGAACTTTGATATTCATGCATAATATTTTTCTTGCACTTTTCCCCACTTTGGTTACAGGTAATTTGGAACTCATGCTACGGTCTGACCCTATGCTAAAAAGTCTGGCATTACGGTTTGCCAAATCCTACTTCGAAACGGCTTCAGACCTTACATTCGTTATTACAGTGGTTTTTAGGCACATGGTAGCTATGACAGATTAAGATATACATGAGGTAATAGCTATTTAGTTTCATGACATTTTCTGGTATAAATCACTGTGGAAATATGCCTGCTTACTCCTGTAGGAAAAAAAAAAAAAATCACCATCACTAACTTGAGATGAACTTCCAAGATCAGGGCAGTATGTCCTATTGGTAAGGACCTACTAAAATTGCAATTTTCATCTATGAAGTTGGGAGTGCCTGCAAAATCTGGAGGGAAACCCCCCCACCAAAAAAAACTTACTGAAAATCAAATGCTGGCTCCCCAAAGGAAGCCCACAGTCCTTGTGGCACTATGGCCTGGCCTCACAACTGGCCAGAAGGAAAATGGGGAGGGAGGCTGCAGGCATGAAGGGGAGCTCATCTAGCTGCTGCCCCCCCCCCACCTGCTGCTGACTGGCTGAGAGGGCTGCCTGTTGTGCAGCCCCATCCCTGTCCACCAATCAACAGTGAGGGGCAGGGCCGCATGACAGACAGCCTTCATAACCAATCAGAAGCAAGGGGCAGGGCCACCAGAGCCCCTCAGCCAGTCAGACGCTTGGGGAGCCCCGCTGTAATCAGCCTGCAAAAGTGGGGGCCAGTCACATGATCTCCTTGTGAAATTGGCTGGCCACCTCCTTGACACCATGTCTATTGGGTCTTATGCACCAAGTTGGAACACCTTTGGGCTGAGGACTGGAGAAACTATGAAGATCCCACAATCCGATGTTTAGAAGTAGGAGCTCTTAATAAATAAGAATATATGGCTACCCTTTTAGAGAATTTTCTCTTCTGTAAAAAAAAA